TATATATATATGTGTGTGTGTGTGTATATGTATATATATATGTGTGTGTGTGTATATGTATATATATATGTGTGTGTGTGTGTGTATATATATATATATGTGTGTGTGTGTGTATATATATATATATATATATGTGTGTGTGTATATATATATATATATATATGTGTGTGTATATATGTATATATATATATGTGTGTGTATATATATGTATATATATATGTGTGTGTATATATATGTATATATATATGTGTGTGTGTATATATGTATATATATATATATATGTGTGTGTATATATATATATATATATATGTGTGTGTGTGTATATATGTATATATATATATATATATATATATATGTGTGTGTGTATATATATATATATATATATATATGTATGTATGTAATGATACGAACAGACTCGGATAGATAGATGATGAATAGCTAGATAACAATGTTACACATCAACACTAAACGAAAAACATTTGAAAAACAGTTCGTCACCATGTCCTAAAGATCGCTTCTCGTAGATTGACAAATGGTAAGATAGATAAATATGGATTTTCAGAAACTAACGGAATATCTGAGTGCCGTCAGCAAAATCAAGAGACGTCACGATTAACCCCATGATGTTGGGTTAAAGTAATAACGAAAAAGAAAACTGTTTGGTTAGCGGGAATATATTTCCGCGCTGAATTATTCATGTAGCATATTTGCAAGAATGATAACAACAACGTTTTGAACGAAGATGGGCGAGAAAAGTTCCAATACATGTAAACAGAGCAAAAGGACAATAGATTTCATTTTATTAACGAAGGCAAACTAACAATAAAATGCCTTACATTTCTGTTGTACTTAAGTCGATTAAAATTGCATTTTCTCTAAAAAAAGAAAAATGGTTCTCTGAGAAATTATTTTGTTCGTCGAGTATATATAAAGTTTTAATGGAAAATCCCAAACGTTCATTAATTAACTATCACAATTATTAATTTTGATGTCACCTAATAATTCTTAATTACATTACCATTCTCTTTCTCTCTTTCTTCCTTTCTGTGATTAAAATGTTCTTATGAGCCGTTTTTTTTAACAGAAAAGAGATTTCAATAACAGTGTCTCAGCGTCAGCTGACTAACAACACCGTCAATTAGATAATATCCCCCTATTACAAATTCCCTCTTTGTCCTCATTTCGTCATGCACAAACGCCTTTGACCGATACACACATTCAAGTTAGGTTACTTGATCTCATTGATATTTACATACTTCTATACTTAATCTAAACTCTTTCAGAAAAAGAATTCTTAAAGATGATAAATATACCCTGGTCTAATGAAACCTGAATACACACACACACACACACACACACACACACACATATATATATATATATATATATATATATATATATATATATATATATATGAAAAATAAAAATAATAAAAAACTAAAATCTTCAGACACACTGGCTTGTAGATTAATATTCTTTCGTTTTTATTATTATTAATTCATTTAGATTCCTCAATTAGTTTCGTCCAAAATGGCCATCATAAGGAGAAGAAATATTTCTGCTTGCTGGTAGCAGTGAACTACAGAAATCAATGTCTTGATGGAGAAAATTAACTTTTGTCTGTAGTTTTCATTTGTTTTTTTTAACATGACTCTTTCAACATTCCTGGTTTTGGTCAAACAGTCTCTTTTAAGTTGTTATTTGAGATAAGAGCTGGATGGATACATGCTGCTGTGATATATATATATATATATATATATATATATATATATATATATATATGGTGTAACATCAAAATTGGTCAAATATTGCAACAGTATAATTGTCCATCCTACAAAATATATATCTAAAAACCACTGAACTAATTGAGATTCTTTTTTACAGTTCTTCAGAGAAGACGTTTAGCCATCGTGACTTCATTTGTGAAAATCACTGAAAATTACTTTGAGTTATTCAGGTAGAAATTTAACAGGTTAAAATCGTTTTGTGTCAGCCCCACTGTTTTTCCCAACTGAACAATGGTAAGAGAAAATTCCATTTAAGAGACATCGAGAACATTGAATACGCTTAAAAAGATGGAACAGTAGAGAGGAAAACTGGATCAGGAGGTCACAACAGGATGAGGGATCATCATTTCAACTTAGAGCTAAAGCGTTCAATGAGAAAATGTCCAACTCATCCCATAAGGCGCTTAGCACGTGAGAAAAGGGTTTAAGATACGACAGACCAAGGAGCAGTGAAAAAAGACTTAAGAATTAAAAAAAAAATCTTTCTCCAGGATAGAAGCTTAGAAGGTTAGATGGATGGCGAAGATCATCTTGAATAAATTGAAAAATAATCCTGGATTATATATATATATATATATATATATATATATATATATATATATATATATATATATATATGAACTTTATATCAATCCATCATAAGCCTCTGATCCTTAGCTATGTTGAATTAATAATGGACATGTCATTTTTGTTAATGATCGTTTTCATGACGATTCTTCTATAATATTTGTAGAATAATTATGCATGATAATTGCTCAAAGGAGAATTCCAGTAAGATATCTTTAATCATTTCTAAACTACAACGGTACAAAGCTTAATCTAACAAATGGACAATTTTCCTATCACACCCAGTATATATATATATACATATATATATATATATATGTGTGTGTGTGTGTTTATCATTTAGAGTTAAGATAAAAATTATCGAATATTTTAGTCCGTCCTATAAAAAGACGAAATTTTAGGAAAACGTTATTTCTTGAATATTCTGGTGATGGGATATAGCGACAGGGAGTAGTATACAGAAAGACACAGGAAACGTTAAGCAACTTGATAAATGAACACATCTAGGAATCTGGTCAAATTATCTGATCTTTTAAGGCTCGTTCTCTTTGTTATAACTATGCAATGTGACACAGAAATCCTAATACGCAAACAATTTCAAAAGATGCAATTCAGAATCGAAACGTAATGTAACAAACATGATAATTACACTGAAAACAAAATTGAGTGTTCCAGTATTATTTAATCACAATCCACTTATATGGATTCTGGGCAATTTCTTCGAATATAAAGAGGACACGTGAAGCAAAAGAGACGTTGTTCCAAAGAGGAATACTTCGAATTCCTTGGACGGAATATGTCCGCAAGGAGTACTTTTTTATGGTAAATAGGAAGGAAAATATCACTTCTACTTAGGATCATAGAATCAGAGTTGCAATTTCAAGTACACATGAAGAAGAAGGACGGCTGGGAGAATTTGACATTCACAAAATATACTGAAGAAAAAACTATGAAAAATGAAGTAGCAAGGGACATTCCTAACGTATAAATCGATTGAACGAAAGAGTAACTGGATCAGGATTGATTAAAACCATAAAGTATATGAATATTTGAAGATCTGTGACCACACGTATCCTGAAGAATCAGTCAGTCAGTCATGTGCCATGCGTAATACACGCTTAGGAAAACATGTATCTCTCGATACATGACTGACGACGTTGCCATTTCTTTATGCGATAGACTAGTTACCATCCAAGGCTACAGAACATGGTCTATCCTACTATTTACCCATAGCTGTGAGGGGAGATAAGAAGAAAATTCATAATTTTACCAAAGGTATGTAGCACATCAGCCATTTTTGTGCCATACGTGATACACGCTTAGGCGATCATGTATCTTTCGATACGTGACTGATGGGTCAATTTTTTTCCGCAGTAGGTTGCCATTTCTTTCTGCAGTAGACCAGTTACCATCCAAGGCTATAGAACACGGTGTGTCCTGTTATTTACCCATAGCTGGGGGGAGAAGTGGATTCATGCCTTTCCCAAGGGTATTAGCACGCAATTCGAACTCGACTCTCCAATTCCTTACTCCGAGCTGCTAGCCATTACTCCAGTCGGCACATACATAAATCTTTACATGTTATCTATTGAAAAACATTTACTTACTATTAAAAAAAAGATAAAAAAACAAACTAAAACAACAAAAAAAAGATGATCTCTATCACCAATACAATAACAAAAACATATTTTCAAAAACTTGTCTTATCCTTGAATTCACCTACCAACCTGGGAAATATATCTTCATAATAATTCTAACAACAGATACTGTACACGCCTTTTAATTTCTGTCTGTCTGTCTATCTATCTTGCTATCTAAATCCTATTCAAGATCTCTCTATCCAGCTAGTTTCATTCCCTGATGGGAGTTTTATGTAATTACAACATTCGTTACTTTTCATCTTCGAGTTGACAAGACGTGAGACAATTTTCGTTAAATCCAACTTCATTAGCCTTCTCAGACAAAAAGAAAAAGAAAACAGTAAAAAGGAAAGATGGGAGAAAGACGTTTAAAAGCCATCGATTAAGTTTTGTTCCATCAGACGATCAATCGAGTTGAGTGTCCAAAGTCCTCCCAGCTCGCCAGCGTTAATACAATATTGACGAAAAACTAAAAACAAAAAAAACTATAGATACAACAGCAGAGAAAGAAAAAAAAACACTATTCACAAAGATAAAAACAATAAGAAAAATAGCATTTCTACTTGCAAGCACAACAAATTCAACCTTAAAAGAGTAATTTGAGCGTCGTTGTGTTTAAGTCCCGAAACAATTTCCTTCTGTTACCTCTCTTGTTGACTCTCTCAAATAAAATCGCTTTTTACAAGTATTTGTCTATCAGTATATTTTATGGAATAAAATGGTTATATTTAAAATATTAAGATCTTTAACTACACTGCATCTTAGCTGGTAAGCCAATTAGGTTTGAGTAATTTAAATCAAGTCAATTTGTTATTTATATTTCTGTTATTTTTTTAAAATATATTTAATCTAGCAATTTGTTTTTTTTATATTTAGATGTGTTCCTTTTTGTATAAACTAAACTAGTTTGAAACGAGGTGACTTGATACCGTTAGCATATTTTCCAGATTACGTTCAATGTATGAAGTAGACACGGCCACAGATGTTGCATGTACCGGCCTGACCAATGCTGTTGATGAATTGTTTGTGCCCTCCCCTTTTTTGTATTTCTTTCTTCTCTTTGCCTCTCTGTGATGAGGTGGGGTGGTCTCATATCACAACAGACCACTGCGTATTGACTCCTGCGTCTGTATGTAGTGTTGAGCCAAATTTTCTCAGTTGGCAGGGTTGATATTAACACATTGAGGCCTGACCACCGCTTTACCGGTGGTAGAGAAAAATGACTTAATGCCCAGCTACCGGTTGAAGGATGAGTAAACACTTGTAACTATTTTATTATCTACCGTCAAACATTAGATAGCAATTATTTGCGAATTTTGACTCAGGAGCCCAGACAGAACGGTTAAAATTGTTCAGGAACGCTCAAATGGTTAAGCGATATTAGGTCTTATTTAAGAGGCCCTGAAATCAACTTTTTTTCCCTTCTATTTAAAAAATCTGAATGAAGAATATGTTTCGAAATTCAGCCGTTTTCATCTACTAGACATGGCCCAACCAGCGGCGATGTTTCTGTTTTAGGAGTGTGTAAATTCTGGGAAGATGAGATCGTCCATAGGCTGAGATATGGGTGATTTTGTCTCTACAATTGTTACCTGCTATACGTCTCGGGCAGTGCAAATGAAGGCTAATTAATCTCTGCTGTTGATGTTCTTAAGGGGTCCATGATTCACTATGATAGAAGAGAATGTATATGACACAAGCTCTATGCACAAAAATGCTCCCGAATTAGGCATAAACACACGCACATCACCACAAAATAAACTTCAACAGTGTTAAATTGGATTTGAAAAGTAAGGATCGGATGATAAGTGTGATGTTAGGCTTTAAAGATTCATGATTCTAAATAATTTTATCTGATCCTCTAACAAAATGAATATATTTTAAATCTATTGTCTTACCGTAAACAAAAGCATCTTACTTTTTAAAAATCTATTTCCTTCTCATATTCTCTCTCTTTCTCTCTCTACATCTTCATTTTTATCTATTCCCGTATCCTCGCTCTCTCTCACTCTCTCTCTCTCTCTCTCTCTCTCTATATATATATATATATATATATATATATATATATGTGCGTGTGAGTGTGTGTGTAAAGACATTTTTATGTTTATACATTCTTTTTTTATAGATACAAATATTTAAGTAAATGCTCTGTTTATAATAAACAGTATTAACAACATTTACTGGCCTGAATGTACGAAAAATTGTCATAGAAAATATGCGTCATGCAAAACGAACCTGTATCCTATACAGAATCGTCATATAGCCTAACGTGCTTTTACCGATTTCGCCACAGAGGAGCGTTCGGTTCGCAAGGTCGATTTTACTGTTTTTAAACTGCAATCTTCCATGATTCTCTCACGTAAATTCATATCTGCACAATGCTTATCCAAATGTAAACAATTGACGTCACACATTATATATATATATATATATATATATATTTATTAAAGACATTTTTTTATGTTTAACGTTGTTATTTTATAGATACAAGTATTTAAGCAAATGCTCTGTTTATGATAAACAGTATTAAATAACATTTACCGGCCTGAATGTCCGAGAAATTTTCATAGAAAATATTCGTTCTTTGACAGGATTCGAACCTGCATCCTATACGGAACCGTCATATACGCTGACGTGCCTTACCTCTAGGCTACAAAGAAGCGTTCGGTATCCATTCTTCTATTTCTCACTTACTTTTCATCTCTTTCCTTCGTTCTTGTTCTCTCTTTCTCTCCCCATCTACTTCTCCATTTTTTTTACCTACCCTCGTCTCCTCTTTCTATTATATCTGCACATCTATCCCTCCTCCTATCCCTTTCCTATTCTCTCTCTTCTTTTCATCTCTTTACTTCGTTCTTATTGTTTCACTCTCTCTCTCCCCTTCTTTATGTTTCCTCTGTCTATTATATCTACTCTATCTATCCCCTCTCTACGTCTTCTATTTCTCTCTTCTTTTAGTCTCTTTCCTTCGTTCTTATCCCCTTTTACTCTCCTCTTCTTTACGTATCCTCGTCTCCATTCTATCTACACATCTATCCCTCCTACTATTCCCCACTATCTCTTATTTTCATCATCTTCTTTTCATCTTCTTCTTCTTCTCTGTCTTTTAGATAAAATCCATATACCTTTTCTTTCATCTCAGTAGTGGATGCCTCTTCCATAACTAACTATGCACCTTTATCGATACAAAATTGTTTTCTGTAGAAGAGACTTTATCCACAGACATAAACTGTTTTTTTTTTCTAGTATTTACTCTCACCATGAATTAGATATCTAAAAACTAGTGTACATAGACAAAAGTGGGTGTTAACACTTTAAAAAATTAGCAAAACATATTAAAACGTTTTCCATTTTTATTATTTTCATTTTCAAACCTCTACTCAAGTGGTTATGTCTAACAACGCAAATGGTACATATTTTCATTGTCCTCAAGATTTTGGCCAACAGTCAAAGTTCTTATCATTAATGATGCCGGGTGGCAGTGTCTTTGTTATGATAATTGCAGACAGTTCCAATATGTTTCGGAATCCAGATGATGTAAATGTTGACCCCATGAAAATGCCAAATCAAATGTAAAACACTTGGAAACAGTTTTTGTAAACTCTCACCCACGAACACCCCCCAAAAAACCTAGTAACTTTAGAGGTATTAACAAAACACCTATATTATATGAAGTAATTTTATTACGATATCGGTAAAAATAGTAAATGAATTATTTGTCTTGTTATTTTAATATCGTTTCTTATACTAATCTGGTAGATAAATAAAACAAAACACTGTATTTAATCAATAATGTACAGGACAGATAGATGTCTCACTTGATACCGTTGTGAAGAGATTAAAAGGTGTCTGATTTGCTCCATCAACCGATGTATCACTTAGAAACTGCAATAGATCACCCTCAATATTTTTCGATGGAAGAAAACAAAAGCGAAATAAGTCGAACCTTTCAAAGAAAGCTGAAAATGAATATCTTCGCTTACAAAATAAATGTACATTTGTATTGTCACAACAAGCTAAGATAATAAATGATTAGCGTAATGTTAGTTGGTTACTTATAAATAAATATTGGGCATTCATTGATTGTGCAGCCAGTACTACTGTGTGTTGAAATTTACAAAAGTCTTTCTCTTCAGGAAAATACGTGTTTCTCTTGTACAGTAACTATTATCGATATTTCCGCTAGTAATAGGGCTTTCCTTCCTCACCATTTATTTGAAGTAGTGTGTAATGTCAACATCTTGATTATGTCATTAATTTCTATTCGACTTAGAGATTGTATCCAATTTAGCTGCTGCGGTTGAATGTCCTCAATTGATTGGTTTTCTATTATCTGCTACAGTTCTTTGTTTACGAATCTGTAGCGCCAGTTCACGGAGCATTGAAGAAATATTGCCTTCACTATTTTTAACCGTTGGTCTGCTGGCTTTGATTTAGAGTGCTTGGTTTGGTTGGGTTTACGACATATCAACCTCAATGGGTTATTTAATGCCGACTAATGTTTTATTGCTGGTAATATGTTTTCAAAAATGTATTGCCGGTAATATTTTTTTCCTTCATAAATATATTTCTGTTAATATTTTTTCTTCAAATATATATAGCTGGTAATATTTTTCTCCTTAAAAAAATATATTTCTGGTAATATTTTTTCTTCAAATTCTGCTACTTTTTTTTTTTTTTTCAAAAATGTAGAACTGGTATTATTCTTTATTTTCAAAAGTGTATTGCTGAAAATAATGTATTGCTGGTAATAATTTTTTACAAAGTATTTCTGGTATTAAAACCTAGTTTTACACTTTGATAATGATTTCATCCCAGTTTGGTAGCGGTCAACTATTTGCCCATAACCAGGTACTACCACCGTGGGTCAGGTTGGACCTGGGAACACCAGGTCCAACCTGGTGTTCCCAGGTCCTACCTGTGAATTAATAGGTGATTACACGCTCCTCGAAACCTCCTCATCAGAGGCCTTGCTGTTGGACGGAGATTATCGTCTTATCCAGAAGGCGGATGTAGTTTATCGTCATACCCAGGACGACGTTGATCTGCATTACAATCTACAAAAGAGGACATACGTACGAACTCTACTGAAGGGCAAGTTTCCTTTATTAAGACTTTCGAATACATAGGTCGGTGGTTGTTGTTCAGGCTGTTTATACAGCCGGTATGCCTACTCAATCCTCAAATATATAAACTTAAATTAAATTAAATATATATATATATATATATATATATATATATATATATATATATATATATATGTATGAACGTGGAAACTGAAATCAACACTGAGTGACGTCAGTCTGTTTCAGTCTTGAACCTAATCTTATGCCCGTGTGCGTTCGATGGTAGCTCGGCTATTTATTTATGCTAGTCAATGGAGTATTTGTGGTAGAAAGGGCAGGTGTTTCGGGTTTGATGTACTATCCTAACTCGGTTATCGGATCAGCGGAAACTATTTTGTTTTAAACTAGCTCTTCGAACAGACTTTAGGCTAGCTCGTGAGTAAGAATTTGGGGCCTTCAGCGTCCTATGCACGTAAAATTATTAAATTTAGAAATAATAAAATTATTTTATCTTTATTTGACACCTTATTTCGGCATAAACCGTCTTCGTATACGCAACCGATCTTCTTAGTTTGTTTGCATTTATTTTGCACGCAATTTTTAATTCCTTTTAAAATCACACGATCCCTTCACATAAAGTAATTCTTAAAAGACATTAGAAAACTCGAACTATTTAATATTTCTAATAAGTCAATGTACGCGTGCTAAAAAAAACAAAAAAAAAAATACATATGAGCAACCTACCACGTCCCACTTAAGTTTTAATTACGGCTTAATTAAACGATATTAATTGCAATTGTGATGAAAAACAAAATTAAAGTTAAACCTTTAATAAAGAATTGTTTTTAAAACTTTCACTCAGTTAGATATTTAATTTTAATTTTAAATAAGTTACTTATTTAATTTTTAATCCCGTGTAACTACGGTAGTTACTACCTTT